GTCAATTCGAAGTTTAAAGACCCAAATGAGGAAATGCAGAGAATATTAGAGAAGAAACACTTCAGAAACAAACAGAAAGAGATAGAATACATTTCGAAGAAATTGCAATCTTACGATTGGAAGACTTACCCTCATAGATGTCTTCTTATCTTAGATGACTTTGCTTCTCATCCTTTGTTAAAGAACAGAGAACAAGATATGTGTCGAATTCTTAAGAAGCTCAGACACTTTAACATCTCAGTTGTCATTTGTGTACAGACAGCAAAGAGTTTAAGTAAGGATGTTAAAAGAATACTTACTGATATCATACTTTTCCCTGGATTGTCCGAAGACGATTTCATGGAACTTATGAAAGAGTCCATGGCAGGTAAGTTTGACAGACATGAACTATGGGAGAAGTACAAAGTCATACAAGACCCTCATACTTCTTTCAGAATTCACATCTACGCGAACAAAGTTCAAATTGTAAAAAGTCAAGCTTGAAAAATAAAGAGTTCATCTACTCTACTTGTTTGAAGTTGTCAAAATACTCTCTTATTTTTCACGATTTTCATAGAGTTTTGGCTACCCCTGTAAAAGTCGGTCTAGAGAAATTTCATGAAATTTGGTCATTTTTCAGCAAAAATATATTTTAGGGTAGAAGGGTATATCTACCCCGTTTTCTACCCTCATTTCTACCCCAGTTATTTTATAAACGTTTCACATGGTAAACGTTATTTTTTAAATTTTGTGAAAACTCAACGGTTTGACACAAGCCCTAAAATATATTTTACTCAGAATTTTACTCAGAATTCAATAAAAATATATTTTAGGGTAGATGGTTAGATCTAACCTGTTTTCTAACCTCTTTTCTACCCCAGTTATTTTATAAGCGTTTTACATGGTAAACATTGTGAATTCGTGAAATTCTAAACAATTTTGTGGCTTCGATTTCTTCACGAAGGATATCGAATGTTTTCACAATGCCGAAAGTTTCTTTATATTTCTTCTTGACATCTGAAAGAAGGAAATCGTCAGCTGTTGGATAGTTTTTGTTCAGAAATTCTAACATGTCCATTTTATCTTCTGCTGGCTTTTCTGCTTCTTTCTTTAAATCTGCATAGTCGTTTCGCATACGTTCTATCTCTTTGACGGAGTAGTTATATTTCCTCATTGCTGCTTTACATTTAGAACATTGTGGGTTCATTTTTGCGTTATATTCTGAAACCTTACCTGCTAGTATGACTAAGGCGTCAATTGCTCTCTTTAACTCAAAAGTTGCGGGTTTTATCTGTTCATTCCATATCTTACCTCTTCTATCTTTATCTCTTATCTGCCATACACATTCAGCAACTAACGAAACAAAGTTGTCGTAGGTCTTAAACTCCCCAGATTTGTATATGTCAGAGATGTTCTTATATACCATATCGCAATCTTTGTCCATGACCTTGTGGTTGCAATGAAATCCAAGAAACTCATTTAACCTTTCGTATGAACTTCTTTATTTCTACTGAGTCAGTTGCTTTGACTTCTATTTCATCGAATTCTGGAATAGTAAGCTTTTGTTGTTGGATTTCAGGAAGTTTAGGTAGATGGTCAATAATATCCTGCATTTCATAAAGATATTCTTCATCTGTTTCATCTTTTGCACTACATTAAATCTCCTTGGAGAAGTTCTTGCTTTATCTTCTGGATTTCTTCGAAAGTATATGAAGAAGGAATGAAGCTTTTCATCTCTACTAACATTGAAGTTGGGTTCATGACTAACGAGTTTGGTGCTGTTGTTGCTAACATGTTCTTACAATAAAAATAAAAAAATATTTTTTTAAAAAAACCAACTTTATTTTTTATTTCGGGAAAACTCATGACAAATTCAAGAGGGTAGAAAAGAGGTTAGAAAACAGGTTAGATCTAACCTTCTACCCTAAAATATATTTTTGCCGAATTCTGTATAAAACTCATGACAAATTCAAGAGGGTAGAAAAGAGGTTAGAAAACAGGTTAGATCTAACCTTCTACCCTAAAATATATTTTTGGGTGTAAAATTCAAATTGTAAAAAGTCAAGCTTGAAAAATCTAAGTGTTTAGTCTTAGTAAGATGGTAGCTTCTTAAAGCATACCGTCCTTGAGTTTTATGTACGTGAAGAGAAGTACAATGAATTCAATTACGAGTACAATTGCAATGACAACTAAGGCAACTATTTTTGTCTTTTGCCAGCAAGAGTACTTCTTCTCTTCCAATGGTTCGGCAGAACTATACTCACTCATGAGAAATGCCAAAACGGTTTAATAGAAAAAGTGTCATTTTTTTCATGTCCGAAGACTCGAAGGTGCAACACTTCCAAAATACCGACGAACTCAGAAGAGCAGCATGGCAGTATCTTCTTGACAACTTCTTTGAGTTCTCCAGGTACACCTTGGAAAATGCTGAAGAACTCCGACACAGAGAATTTGGAGAAATTGCACTCCAATACTACCTTGACAAACAAAGGGTAAACAAAGGGTAAACAAAGGGTAAAATAAGACTAAAAACTTAACGTTTAAAAAGTGACATTTTTAATGAGCTCCGAGTCACCGAGAAAACTTGGTCAGATGTTAGCAGCTTACTTCCCTGAGGAAGATGGAAGCGTTACATACGTAAGGTTCAAAAACAACGAACCTGGAATTGCGTACCAAATTCGCAATTACATGACCATGGAAGAGTACGAAAGGCTCCTACAAGAGAAACCAGCTCTAAACAACTCAGAAAAGAAAAGTAAAAAGTTTAACTCGTAATTGTTTATTTTTTTACTTGTATGGGCAAGCTGCAAGAATGAAGTCGACTATCTCAGTCTTTGTCTTGACCAGTTGGACTGCTCTTGCGAGTACGTCTGTTTTGCGGTCTCCAGCTGGTGTCTGACCTTCGTAATTGCGCATGTTCTTGAGAGCTCCAACTGTAAATGTTGTAGGATGAAGAGTCTCTCAGACTGCTTGAGGTAGTCTTCACGGTCACGAACCGAATCTGTGGTACGAGTCGAATCGGTCGATTTGAGGGAAGAGACTGAAAGCCTGTCGTCTTCCATAGGGGCTGTGGCATAATCTTTGCGTAAACGGTTCAGACCTTCTTCGAAGTCTTGGTCTCTCTTCGATTGAGATTGAGATTGGAATTGCTGGGGTGGAGCTTGCTGGAACATCCAAGGGTTGGGGAAGTAAGGCATAGGCTGAGGAGGGTAGTTCGGGAAGCCTTGTGGTGGGTAGTAACCTTGAGGTGGAAATTGGTAGTAAATCGGAGGTACTTGCTGGAACTGAGGTTGCTGAGGAGACTGTTGTGGTTCTTTAGGTTCCTCTGGCTTGGGAATGGGCTCGGTTGGTGGGACGTCGGACATTCGTTTGTGGCTTAACCGTCGGACCACAACGATAAAAATCTCTGCTACTAGCAGTACTGCTACTGACAGTAGCAGTACTTTTACTGACAGTAGCAGTACTTTTTCTGACAGTAGCAGTACTTTTACTGACAGTAGCAGTACTTTTTCTGACAGTAGCAGTACTTTATCGTCGAAAACCCTCTCAAATTTTCCTTTTTACTGCAACTAGCAGTACTTTTACTGACAGTAGCAGTACTTTTACTGACAGTAGCAGTACTTTTACTGACAGTAGCAGTACTTTTTCTGACAGTAGCAGTACTTTTTCTGACAGTAGCAGTACTTTTACTGACAGTAGCAATGGTCGAGGTCGAACCTACCGACGAGGCAATTTACCTAATTGAAATTAACGAGCTTGTTAAAGACTTCCTCAGGCAGAATGTAAAAGGCAAGCTTGTTAACTGTTGGATAACGGGAAGGGCTGCCTTGAATCTCGAGACTTCGACTGGAATTCCAATTCAAATACCAGACGGGACAGCCTACGACGACATAAAGCAAGCAAAGAAGGAAGCTCTTCTCAAGTTCTTTGCCAAGCGTCCTTGGATACAACTTCCAAACAGAGAGAACCCTTTCCCAAGAATGAACCAAATTCTCAAGGGTCTCCTTCACTTCTCGGGTCAGCCGTTCTACATAACCTGTGAAGGCGACATCCAACCAGTTCAGTAAACATCTCATTTTCACTTCACTTTTTTTATGTTTTTACTCACACTCGTACTCAACAGGTTTGTGTACAACTATTTCAACTGTGAACCTTGTATTGACCGGTCTTCCTGTAAATGCAAGTTTGGTCAATACACAGTTTATGGTGCAAGAAGGACAGTGGGGAATGTTATTCTGACATCTGTTGTTGCGCTCGAGAGAGATTTGAAATTTCAGAGCCACCTCCCCCAAGAACTCCAACACCAACACTCAAGTTACAGAGTCTCATGTGAAGAAGAAGCCTTCTGGTAAGTTTCTTATAGCCATATACATGGCACGCTTTGAGTAAAAACATTTTTTTCATTTTTTGAATGAAGCAAGTTAAATTCGTTCCACACCAATCTCAATGGACCGATGAAGAGTTTCAAGCCATGCTTGAAGACGTTGAGAACGACATAGACGGCGAACTTGAAGGAGCTCAAACCACAATTGCAACCAAAATTGCACAAGTCAAGGAACAGATAGCTCCACTTAAAGCTACCAAAGCTACTCTTGACTCATGGATACTTACCGTTTAGAAGTAAAGAGTGGAATAAGACAATTAAAATTAAAACTTCTAAACTACGAAGCTATACTTCAAAAGTTAGCAGAAATGAGAAGACTTTACCAGAGCTACTTACATGTAAGGGACTTCCTTCAAGCAGTCCGACCAAGATGAATTTTTCTGACATTGTCCCAATTTTGTCCGAAAGTCAGCTCAGATGTTTCGAACTGCTCCCAACATATCCAGAATATGAACGTTTTGCCTGAACTCTTCCGCAATCTCAAAAACGTTTTTGTTCTCATGTTCGAAACTTTTATCGGAAGAGAACAAACGTTCAGAAGAAGAACAAGATATTATTTTAAACTGTTGTATGACTTAACCGTCATAACAAGCTTTTTGAAGTAAAACCGTCATTCTCAAACCACTTCATTTTTTCGATGTCCGAACAAGCACCGAAGCCGAACAATAGCAGATGTCCTTTCAAGGTTGCAGACAAGCGCCCAGTTCAAATTCAAATTATGCATTTGAAAGCTCATCTGACAAACACCGTTAAGACTCTCCAAAGTAGTCTTATGGAAGAGATGAAGGGACTTAAAGGTGAGTTCCTCATGAACCAAGCTTCCAATGAGAAAGTCCTGAACGATTTAGCGGAAACCTTGCGCATTTACGCGAGAGAGAACCGAGACCTTGCCAGACTCATCTACCGTTTCTTCGAAGAGATAGACGCCATCTGGAAGGTACTCGGAAAGGACAGAACATGCAACACCGTACTTCGTGAGTACCAAATTGAAGAAGGTATTATCAAAGAAGAGGAAGAAGAGGAAGAAGAGGAAGAAGAGAAACACGAAGAAGAGGAAGTTTGGCAACCCTTGTTGCCGATGACGCTTACGAAATTTCCAACCCTACCCATACAAAATCCGCAACAAGGCGACAGGCAAGGTTCTTACCCCAGTCCTCAAACTTGGACACTTGACCCTTACCCTTCGAAATTTACGGTACAATTTCCATGGGAAGGCTTGTCGGTATGCAATGGGTTCCAAATCCAAACAAGAAGACGAAGGTCAGACACATTGACGGTGACAAGCTCAACAACCGTAAGGAGAACTCGAGTGGTTTGAGTAAAAAAATTTTATTTAGGGGGAAACCCCAAGTAAATTTAAGTTTTAGTTGCGTAAGCGGCTTAAATTAATGGTCATTTGCCAAAATTAGTTCCTGACCTCTGAATTGAACTCTTTCGTCATCCCAGTTGCGTAGGAGGTCGTCCCAGAGGAGTTGGTAGAATTGCCAATCCAAGGACGATTTGTCCTCCCAGGCATTGAGGATGTACTGCTCGTAGAGTCTCATGAACCTCTGCCTTGCACCAGACACCCTTCCCTTGGAACGTAAGGCTTCTTCGAAGTGCTCGAATGCGATTGGCTGCGTGACCATCCGAAATGACACTTTTTGTCCGTTTGGTCAATGTTCGTGTCTCGTGCCATAGTCGACGAAAAATACAGACAAACAGGTTTATATTGAGTTTTGAGACCAAGAATGGTGTAACTCGACCTGTCCGATTCAAAGACTCGAGGCGACCATGAAATTAAACGGAAATTAGCTAGGAAGGAATATAAAAATTTTTTATTTCATGCAATGTTTTATTTCTGTGCCGTCTTCTTTAACACCCCAGTACTTACGCTTGGAGAGGACATGAACTTCGGTGAAAATTTTGTCCAATTTGAATTGACCCATCTTTTCACCGACCATTCCCATTTCAATGAGTTTGTTATAGCCTTCTTCGTTCGTCATGAGTGCGTCGATGTTCTCATAGTAAACCTTGACTTTGGATTTGACTTCGGAGAAGAATTTGTTGTACTCGTCAAGGACTGCTTTTGCGAACTGAGGGTAAGACCAATGTTCGACAATAGGTTTTAATGTGGTTACTAAGCCACTTTCACCTTCGGTAAATTCGTATTTCAAAACAAAAGGAGAAAACCTTTCAACAAAGTTGTCGACCTTCTCATAATGTTTACTCTTCATCTCTTGAGGTTTTTTAATGGAATACCCCCATGTCGAATTCATAAGCAATTTTAATGTCATTGCAAGTTTGGGGTTTGAAGCTTTCCTAATATCATACAGTTGTTGTATGACTTTTCCAACTGTATAGTTCCTTCCTGGGAACTCACCATCTTCGTTTGGAATTCCAGTCGGGATATATTGGACGAACCTCATGTACGCAGCGTTAAGGTCAACATAGTATATTTTTTCGTATGAGTCGAACTTGTCGCATCCAATCGGTCCAGTTCGTGGAAATTCAAGCGAGTCTCTTATCTTCTGAGAAACTTCTCCTGTTATCTCATAAACATCGTCGAAGCAACCTGTTTCATATAAAACCTTCTGACCTAACTCAGATGCTCTCCAATACAATTTGACGTCAATTGGATGTCTCAATGGGAGTTTGTTTATAGCATCTTGAAGTTCTTGCAACCTCATTGGAAGTTCTTCTGGTTCAGGTTGGTATCCGACAATCCAACTCCTTTTGGAACTGTGTACTTCTTTTGTACTAGAACTTTGTCTGGAACAACTTTTGGTCTTGCTAACAGTGAAAAGTTTGTTTCGTCTTTTGGTACAAAACTTTCTGTCAGCTTGTCATCTGGAATTGGTTCCAACAAACCTTTCTCGAAAAGAATGTTAACAGCTCTGACAATGTTGCACTTGCCTTTTCCGAACAATGGGTTTGTAAGACTTTCGTTCAACATGAAGTGGTTGTGGACAATTACAATCTTCAACCATGGTAAGTCTTTGTCAACAACATAGTCGTCATGTGAAGAACCTTTCTCAGTCGGAATGTTGACTCGGATATTCACATTTGCCAACGGTGCAATTTTAGCCAATTGACCTCTGAGCATGTACCTTGTCTTCACACATGACTCAAGATACTTCATTTTCTCTTCTGAAACAAGACCAGAGTTCCTGAGACATGTAAGAATACAAGGTTCATTGACAATTGTTTCAATTGAATTGTAAATTCCATACCTGGTTAAGTTAATGTCAGACTTGTTTATGAACGGGAAATACCAGCATGTTGTCTGACTGCTTGAGGGTTAGGTTGGTACCATTCGAACTTCACACTTGCAATCCCTTCAATCGCATTCAAAATGTCTGAGTCGGAGTCAACCATTTGTTCTCTCTTTGTAGTCTTGAAAGCGTCAAGAAGTTGTGCGGCTGTTTGTTCATTGCCATGCGCATAGTAAATGTGACCATCTAAATCTGTTACGGTTAGTCTGAGATTGTATCCTTTCTTATTTCCGTCTTGTATGGCAGCAAGTACTCCCATGAAGCCTTCTTTGTTCTTTCCTTCGTCAAAGTTTACTGTAAAGGTTCGACCAGATGTAATTTGACTTCTAACTTCACGATACTTTTCATATGCATATCTTGTTCTTTCCATGGGAGCATGTGCGTCTTCACCTTTTCCTTTTTTCCTTCTCAAAGGATGCAATTGTTCGTCATGTTTCCAGTAGAATCTGGCAAAGCCGTCGTGTCCTTCAACTTGAGGTTCACTAACATCGAAAGGCATGTTCATAAGACGTTCTTCTTCTAACCTCTCTAGTCTGTTTGGATAATTTGTGCGTGCTGTTTCCAGGTCCATTTCATAGGTCAGACCAGCCAGTTTGTCATAGACTTTTATGGGTCTTCCCTTCCTATATTTAAACTTCTTCGAAACTCTCCAACCATATCTTTGCAACTCTGCTTTTATTCTAGCAGACCTTCTATCCATTCTATATGGGGGCATTTTTATAAAAATAAAAAAATATTTTTTTCTTTACTTAACATAACCGCCTGCTGCCATAAGTCTTTGACGCCAACCCATTCCAGCTAATGAAGGTTGACTTGGTTTAGTTTGGAAACTAAACTTTGGTTTTGGTTTATCTTCAGTTTTTGGTTTTTCTTCTTCTATCGGTTTTTCGTCACTTTTCGGTTCCTCTGACTTTTCCCCACCTGCAGGAACAGTTGTGTCGTCAACATCTTCATAAATATCATATGCCATCTGTTTTTGTTTTCCTTTCAACTTTTTGTGTTTGTTGTAAAGTTTAGAATATTTCGACTCTAAGTCAATGAGATGTTCTATAATGAACTGTTGGTCAGTGAAATAAACTTTTCCATCTGTTGTCTCGAAAGCTCCTTCAGACTTCAATATTTTATTTGTGAGAGTCTGTTTCTTTTTTGAGATACTAGCCGTTCCATTTCTATGAAAAGTGACTTTGTAGTTAGGGTTTGTATTTCCAGACCTGGCACTTTCTATTATTGAATTTTTCTCTTCATCTGTAAGTTCTTTGACAGGTTTTGACAATGGTTCTGAACTTTTTGTTTGTGGTGTCAAATCTACCGTTTCAACTTCTTCGGTCATTTCATCTCAGTAAAAAATTTTAGTTTGGTTTGTTTTCAACTGGTTGTTGTTGTTTTTTAAGTCGGTCTAAAACTTCCTGAGGTATAGGAAGAACTTGACAAACACGTTGTGTAACTGCTGGAAGCCGACAAATCCATCTTGAGCCCATTTGTCTCAATGCTGTATTGTTCATTTCATCTCAGTAAAAAAATTTACATTCCCCACGTTTGAGGCGGTTGCGGTTGGTTGTTGTTTACCCACTGTTTGTGCATGGTTATATCCTCTGTTAAAGAATCTTTCACCTTGGTCCATATAGTGCCCTGCTTGGTTATAGTAGTCATTTGCTTTGTTATAGTAGTTTCCTGCTTGTCTTCCTACATTGTCCATCCATCCTTGAACTTTTCCTCTTGTTTCAGGATTTGGAATAAGATTTGTTGCATCTCGTGCTACATCCCAACCTTTCTGTACAGTTTGTATAATAGGTTGTGCTTTCTCTTTAAGTATACCTAATGTACTCAAAATCTTCCTTCCAACTCCAAATACACTCTGGCTATTGTTCCCACTGCGGGCAAAAATCTGGATGCAACTCCTGCTAATGCGCCAAATAAACCCATTTCTTATAGGATAAAAATGACGAATTCAAACAAGGACCCCTATGTTTCTAAAGCGACAAAGAAAGCACTCATGGTAAAAATCTTTAGTTCAACACCAAATGCTTGTTTATGGATATCTTGGAAACATTCCGAGGTATAGAGAAGATGGACCTCCATACTGGCTAATATTTGTTGGTCAAAACACAAGATACTGTGAAGCCATACCATTATGGTCCAAAAATATTTTAGATGTGAAAACTGCTTTGACAATATTCGTTGACAAATACCATCCAACAAAACTGACATCTGACTGTGAAAGTTCTTTCAAATCAGACGATATTAAAAACTATCTGCGTTCAAAAAATGTAAACCAATATTTCATTGTCGACCAAAACCATTCTGCTCTTGTGTCATTGACAGTTGTATAAAAATCTTAAGAGACTTAAACCAACCACAAGGTGGTGAAGCAAATGAAATGTCATATGACGACAAATATAGACATTTCTCCATGGCAAAGATGAGACAAGTTTTAAATATTTACAATAACCGTAAACAAAAGGTTTGGGAAACCACTCCCCCGAAGAAATGAAAAACAACCCCGACTTAGAGAAAGACTATATATTTAATAGTTTAGTCAAAAGAGACAAACAAGAAAGAATGCCAGGCTTCAAACTTAAGAAAGGTGACAAAGTAAAAATAGAAATACCTAAACGCGACCCATATGAAAATACTATTGACTATGACAACAATGGGAACCCGACAGGTACTCACCTTCGTGTTCGTAAAAATAGAAGAAAGTATACAAGAGAATATTATGAAGTTTTAGGCAAACATGGCAAAATGTACACACTGCAAGCAGAAGATAAAACTACTATTGTCAGACCTCGTTTCAAACTTGTTAAGGTTCAAGGTGGTATACTTTCAAAGACAGTTCCTAACAAATATAAGACAACTCCTGACGAATATGCTAAAGAAGTTGAAAATGACGACTAAGCATTTCTATACCATGCGTAAACTGTCATGTAAGGTGGCATGTAGTCTTTACTTTGTCCCGTTGTTTGCGTATACCCTGAAACGCGATGTGTATGGTTTCCTTCTCCCTGTGTGCTACCCCAGAAACAATTTATAGCAAACTGAACGTTGTCTTTAACATCATATCCTTTACCTTTTTTCATTGCTGACCAATCCCAAAATCTATGCTTATGCCAACCTGCTTGAGATGTACTTAAATCTACGTAGTGACTGTGTGCAGGTAGGTTTTCACCTGAAATCGTTTTACTCCCACCTGTTTCCTTTGAAGAGTTTGCACAATACAAAAACCTGTCGACTATTTGAGTCCAAGTTCCGAGACCAAGTACTACTTCTGGTCTGGTAGAGTTCATTGACGTGTAAATAGAACTTATAGGATATACTGTTTGAAGTATTTCTGTCTTTAACGTTTGAAGCTCTGTTTTGTCAGCTTTCTTATCTAACTCATCGTTAACATATGTTTTGTCAGCTTTTTTATCTAACTCATCGTTAACATATGTTTTGTAAGCTTTGTTGTCATATAAATCTTGAGCAGTGAATTTAACTTTGTTTTCATCCTCCATGACATAGACATTTCTACATCTAATGTATCTCATCGTCGTTATGTCTTCATCCGATGTTAAACCTTGTGGAAAGTTAGGAGGTTTCCAATTTAATACATCCCCACCAGTTCCATCAGGTTCTTCAACCGTTCCTGCAATATTTTCTATACCAACAGTTGCGAAGAAATCGTGTGTATGGTTCTTATCTGCCTTCTTTTCAAGGCTAACGTTTAAGTCTGTTATTTCAGAAGATGTATGTGTATGTCCAACGTCACTTTTCCTGTTTAAGGTTTCTTGTAAGTTTGTAATATTTGCAATGGTATGTGTATGAGTCTTTTTAGAATATTCTTTGTCAGCTCTTGTCACTTCACTTGACATTTTATTGTCAACATATGTTTTGTCCGCTAGTTCAGGATGAGTATGTTCTTTCGTTGCATAAGCTTTGTTAGCTCTTTCTTCTTCTTTTGCTATTGCATCGTCTACATACTCTTTGTCAGCTTTGTTGTCAATATCTGCTTTCAAAAGAAGTTCATCTATAGGTTTCTCGTTTAAAGTTCTTTTTGTTGGATTTATACAAACAGTATGGTTCTTACTGTCTTGAAACAGAAACTCGTCTGTCAATGGGTTTATCGTCAGTTTTAAGTTTCCTTCTTTCAATGACTCAGATATCTTAGAATAGTTTGAAAAGTTTGTTGTGTTCTTATTTAGAGCTTGCAAAATGAGTTGTCGGTTGTGTTGTATTTCTCTCATAGACGCTGTTTCATTTGACATTTTTATTCTAGATAAAATATGCTTTCAATAGAAAAAGAAAATTCAAGAGTTGCTACAACTAAACCATTAGATGAACTTTTTACGAATGTCGGTCAAAAGTTTGAGACAGAGACCGTAAAGCATGAAGGCTATCGTTTTGACTACCCCTTAAGATGGTTAAGAGACCCATCCGTCACAAAAGCTGTTGGCTTTCGTAGAATGAAGTTCATTTCAGAAGCCATACATGGTTTCCCATTTACAGTCGGTTTTGAAGTTCGATACTATAACAAAGAAAAACGTACGTATGAGAAATTTGAACAGGGAAAACTTTTACAAGTGAATTTGCTTGTAAACTTAGAAACAACTCTTCAAGCTTTTCAAGAAAAAATAAACGACATCTATATCGAATATGCAAAACAGTACAACATTGACGAAGGAGAGTACCATCTCGATATTATATATGACAGGAAAAATGCAACTGTTAAAATCAATAGAATAGAAGACCTTGGAGAAGACGTTTATATTTCTACAAAATATAACAACTTGGCATGGTATAGATTTTTGAGGATGTTAAATCAGCCTGCAGAATATCCAGTACACCCGAACTTTTATGAAGTCGAAAACCCTAATGGAACATATGAAAATGTTTTCGACTCAGATGCTATTATAGTTCATGCTTCATTTTCTGGTGCACAAAACTCTTTTTTATGCTTGGCAAATGACTTTTACGAAAAACCTACAAAGCTATATGAACCGCCGAGTGGAAGTATTTCAGACTTTCAAGTATGGTTTACAACAGATGGAAGAAAGAGAATAGTTCCATTATACCATGCGTTTTACTTAGAACTTAGTTTCATATACAACTACTATCGAACGGTAAAAATATAATTTTAATACGGTTGAGGTGTTGGATTTGGTTGCCAACTAGACTGTGGTGCAGGTTCAGGCTGTTGTATAACAGGAGCTTGTTCTTCTGGTTCAGGGTCTTTAGGTATAATACCAACGAACTGACCTACTCTTTTGCCAATATTTTTGACTCCGTTCCAAATTCCTTTTCCTACGGTTTTTATTCCATTCCATATACCTCTTCCAACATTTCGAAAGAAGTTTCCAATACTACTGAAGAAACCCATTTTACTATATGTAAAAATCTAATGTCCACCTAGTCTCTTACGTTTCCTTCTGAGTTCCATAGCATTCTTTAACTGGAGCTCATACATTCTATTTCTCCTCTGGTAGAAAACATACTCTGGGTCAACTCCTGTGTTCGCGTCATCTGCATAGAGTTGTTTATATCCCACTTCGGGGTTTGTATAAAACTCTTTCCATCTCATATTTGCATACCATGGTGGCAAACCTAACGCAGCGTCATTTGACATGGCAGTTTGCATTTGTACATCTGTTGGCACTTGACCATAGTTTGCCATTGCAGTTTGTATTCTAACTTCATTTGGAATATTCTCTGGGTTTGGTTGTC